CAGATAAAGTGTTTTACTGTTCGCAGGTCCATGTTAGGATCCAGAACCTTTAAAAAATATACATATATATACATATATATTAAAATCATTTAGATATTAAAGTTGCACCAGGTTTTACACGGCCGTGCTCGTGTACCCACCTGATCTTGACACATTAGCTCGATCTTCTCCTCGGCAAGCACCGCCATGTCCTCCTCCTTCTCCTGCTCCCCAGGCTTCTCATTGGCTGAGGAGGAGCTGGTGGTCTGTGACTCATTGTCAAGGTTGATGATTTTCTCATACACGTGCTCCATCACTTTCCTCACTTGTAGCATATCACTGGCAGAGAGTCGGTCCCTGCAGAATGGACGGCAGGTTCAATCAATGATTAAATCAATGTACGACTTTTCACGAGTTACATGAAAAGCAAGTCGAAACTTACTTCTTTAGAGTTTTTGCACCAGAAGAGGAATGAGGCTGAAGGTAGAATGGAATTTTGTTGAACTTCGGCATATTCCTCTGCGATAGAAGGGAAGGAGTTGTTAAAAACACGTTTTAACATTAAAACTGCACTTCCAACACCCAGATATTAATGAATAAATAAATTAGAATAGTAAGCCGCAGATTGGGGTACAGACATCATGGTTCAGTATGAAAACAAACGTGAGTCACAAAATGTAAAAACCTAAAAAATGTTATGTACTTTACACACACATATATATGTATATGTATATATATATATACATATATACACGTATATATATATACATATACACACATATATACATACATATATACATACATACATATATATACATACATATATACATACATACATACATATATAGATACATATACATACATATACATATATACATACATACATATATATACATACATATATACATACATACATATATATACATACATATATACATACATACATACATATATAGATACATATACATACATATACATATATACATACATACATATATATACATACATATATACATACATACATACATATATAGATACATATACATACATATACATATATACATACATACATATATATACATACATATATACATACATACATATATATACATACATATATACATACATATATATACATATATACATTATATATATACTACACACACACACGTGCAACTGAGGATGTCCGATATAAACTTTTTGCTGATAACGGATACGCCGATACTTTCCAAACACTTAATTTCGATTCCAATATAACGGGGCAGTGGTGGAAGTTAAGTGTCGCCTGCTCACTAAGGTGATGGGTTAAAACAGTGTTTCTCAATTATTTTCTGCACCCTACGAGACACAATCAAAATACTATTGAGCACCGGGTAATGTGTATTTATTTATCTGTACGATAACGATAACGATTCTTTCAGTTAAAGGGAAAATATGCTAATATCGGGCCAATATTATCGAACACCCCCCTACATGCAACACTTTTTAAATCCTCTCTTACTTCATGAGAGTCAATCATCCCCTGGTGACACCGTTGATATTTTTCGTCATTTAAAAAACAAATAGTTTTTTTTTGGTTATTTCAATATAAATCTGGATTGAAAAAAAAATATACTCACGTCTACCGTTATATCAATAACCCACTGTGGGACTGTCTCATTCAGGAGCATCGACTCAGTTTCTCCACCTGAATCCCTACATAGCAACCTGGAATGAAACAGCCAGGAAAATCATGAGTCCCATTTTTTTTTTTTTTTACATCGGTATACAGTGAAATAGTCTTTGGAGTAGAATCTGTTACATGTTTAGCAGATTATATTACAAAGACTATTTCACTGTCTATATATAGTCATACAGAAAACTTTGGTTTAGTGCAAAATTACCTAAAAAGAGTCCGGCCTCCTGCCTCTCCAAAAATGACAGGTGTGTGGGGCGGCACCTGGAAATATCCGTTTCCTTTTTGCACCCTGCTCTCCTGCTCTCCGTTTACTGCGGGCAAAACAACAAATAAGACATGATCCTATTTATAGGAAACTACATATAGAGCATCACAAAGAGCCCGTGACAGCGACTCTTAACCTGGGTCCGATCGAATCACCGAAGGGTTCGGTGAATGCGCATGAAACTGGTGGGGTTCGGTACCTCCGACAAAAGTTAAGGACCACTGGCCTAAGAATGAACCGTACCCTTACCGTGGTTGACCTCGTTCTCTTCCTCATCCATGGGGTTGATGCGCGTTCTGGGCCAAAACTCAAGCAGCGCCTGAAGAAGCAATCCACCTAGATTCACTGCAAAAAGTAAAAGGAGCGACAGCAAATCTGTATACGATTCAACCTTGATGTCCGCATTTGATGTGAAAAATGTCGAACCCCGGCATTCTTACACTTTGGGTCGGACCCATCGGCGCTTGAAAACCCGGCGGCCTTTGCAGACACCCAGGCAGCGAATCACTCTCGTCCAGCGTGATGGTGAGCATCTGTTTAGCAAACAAACAAAAAGCACGTTTTAAATCTGCAATCAAATCTTTGTTAAGATGACGACAAAGGTAAACCTTTCAAATATCCCGATTGCAAGATTTGTCATTTACCCCAGTTTTTAGATCCACCGAGAACCAGTTTGGCACGTAGACCATCTTGAAGCGCTTTTTAATCTCTTCTTCAAACTCCACTTTTCCCAGATCTTCACCCTTGCAAGCCTGGTAGTACAAAAAGTAAAAAATCAAACGTTTCGCAGAATTCGCAATCGTCATTGTTGTCGGTTGTGGGTTAGTGTTTCGACAGGGAAAAATAGTTGGCTTTGTATAAAACAAATGTATAGTTACTCATAATCCAGAAAGACGTCTATTTGTAGGTCAAATAAAATGCATAAGTTGTCACTTTAAGCACGTTATGATGTCATTTATATCGAGGAAAGAAAGAAAGAAACCAGACAATTAGATCAATACAAATGAATCAAACGATAATAAATGTTCTTAAATTGGTAGGACGTGTTGTCATTTAAGCCGACTTTGGAGAGAAAAAAAAAATCCTCTTACCTTAAGAACATCCCAGTATGCCACATTATTGTTGGTGTCTTTGGTGAGAATGTGTCTTTTGTCATTCAGAATATGGCACTGGATAATACTGGCCCCTCCTGTTGATGCAAAAAAAAAAAACGTTTCAAAGTCAAAGATAATATGGGGGGAAAACACTGTAAGTTTCAAATTGCAGAATAAAAAATAAAAAAAAACAAAAAAAAACATTCGTTTACCGATTACAACCTGCTCTGGCTGAGTACATAGTGGTGTCAGAGGGGTACTGCAGTCGTTGTCATATTCCCCTGATGACCTAAAGTTGTGCATTCCCTTAAGTGACTACACACACAAAACAAACGGAAAAAAAAAAAAGACAGTGTTGACCAAGAGCTGTCTTTCTCTCCTAAGTGGCCCTGTCTTTACTTATAGAAAAAAAAAAAAAAAAACGTCTTCTTTTGCTCATTTGGGTCCGGGTTGTGGGATAGCGGAAGCTTCCTACAATTTTTACGGGAGCATCCCTGTGTGTAATGGAGAGCAGCAGTTCCAAACGTTTGCCCTAGCCCAACATTTTCCCCCATTTAATCAATCAAATATCGATACTTCCGATTCTGGATCTTTATGCTCTGAAATCGATTCTGAAATCAAAATATCGACACTTTTGATAACTTGCGCATTCTGAGATGAGGTGTATCCTAAACAGAAACACGGTGAAAAGTATCCAAATTGTTGAGATGTTGTCTAAGTGACGCTCGGTTGGTGGGACTACTTCTTCTTCCGCCTGGGTGTGTGCGTCATGCGTAAGCACAGGGTGCTCTACTCCGTGCTCTCACTCAGTCACTAGGCAGCAACCTCAGTACACGCCAGAGTTTAAAATAAATAAATAAATAAAAAACTCTGCCTTGGATTCTTAAAGAAGCTATGATTTGAAATACACTTTTTTTTTAAATTTAAAAGACAAATGATAAAATATCGATATCGGTATCGGCGATACCAGACTACGAATTTTACTCGGTATCGGATCGGAAAGGAAATTGGTGGTATCGAACATCACTAATTCGATACCTCCCCGGGGCATATAGCTTCCAATCTGCACCAAAAAGACAGTGTTGACCGAGAGCTGTCTTTCTCTCCTAAGTGGCCCATTGCTAACAGAAATGTCCTTTAAAACCTTCTGAAAGCTAAACAAAATAATAATAATAATAATCATCATCATTTTGAATGGAATCGCTACATACACCACAGGACGAAATCATGCAAGGAAGACTGAGCGACTACACTAAATTTCAGTGAACGTACGCTCAGTCAGCAATCCGGTGATCTTTAGTTAGTCACGCAAGCTTACCCATTTATTGACAGATGACTTGGTTGTGGAGACCCAGATTGCTGTTGGTGGGTCAGCAGATCTGTCCAGTTCCATCTGAGTACAAAAAAAAAAAAAATTTTTTAAGAGAAACAGAATTGAATCACACAAATATCATGCAAATATCTATCATTCATTAGAATGAGTCAAATTTGTGGCTGGACCTGATTTAGTACAGGCAAAGCAAGTGGTGAATTTACTGTCCTGGAAAAAAGTAGCACTGAACATATCTATGAAGATTCTCTGTCATCCAGGTCATGGTCAAGGTTGAAGATTTTCCTCAAGAAGACGTTTCCGACCTCTCATCCAAGAGGCGTCAGTTCGGAACTTGCAGAAGCCTCAGAACTGAAGAAGCCTCTGTTATACTTAACACCCGGCCCCCCCAGACTCCTACTAAGAGACATGCATACATTTTCCCCGGATCTTTTGAACATGCACCGAGCTCGGACCTTTAGCACAGGCGCCTTTTCCTCGCAGATGAGAACACGGATGTCAGGGTTGCGCAAGTCGGTGCAGTAGATCTTTTTGTCCCTGCCTCCGGAATAGACGTGTGTAAATGCCTCGTTGACCTGTAGGGCCCACACCCCTTCATCGTGCACCCTGTAGGTGGCGATACACCTTTGCTGGCCGAGTGACCACAGACGTATTGTTCCATCGGAACTGCCTGACAGACACTGAAGGAAGGGGGAAAAGGGGCAAATAAATTCATAAGCATTTTTTTTGCGAGCTGCTGCGACGCAAACGCCATCGACACACATCGTACACCACCTGAGTGCCGTCTCGATTCAACAGCAAGGACTTGACGTTGTCTGTGTGACCTTTTAGCTTCATCAACTTTGCACATGTTCGGGGGTCCCACACTCTCAAAACCTAAAGGGGGTAAAAACAGAGTCCAGTGATGAATTAAATGCATAGAAAACACAATGTGGTAGTATGAGCAAAATGTATATCTTTAACATTAACATTTAGTATTGGATTACATTTCACAGAGAAAACCCTTCCGTATGACAGTTTTAAAATCATGCAACCCCTTAAACTTACGAAAACCAAAGTCAGATTTGAATGCTTAAAAATGACTTCACATTGCGTTCCAATATCTGGTTTACTGAACTTGATGATGTCAACGATAGAAAACCAGACCTTTTCTGTGGATCCTGATACAATGACTGTACCCATCTGGTTCATGGCCAGACTGTAGATGGAGTCCTTGTTCCCACTCAGAGAGGAGGCTTTTGGAGCGACAAACACATTACAATTAGTCCCCACGTTTCGAAATTTGTTCAACGATAAGATGTAAGCACAAACAATCTCCTTACTGGTAACAGTGTTATTGGATGCAGTGAGTGCTGTTAGTGTGTTCACATCCCAAAGAAAGATTTGCCTGTCAAGGCCCGCCGATGCAACAAGCTCCTTGTCTTTTGCATAAGCTAAGGCTTTTACGTAGTCTTTGTGTGTTCGTAACGTTGACATGCAGAAGCCTTTATGTGCGTTCCATACTTTGACCGTTGTATCCGACGAGGCAGATATCACTGAAATGTGAAGGGAACAAAAGGGTCGGTAAGTGAATCACGTTGTGAAAAATGTAAAAACTTAAACCTACGCGGTAACTTAATAAATACAAAAAAAAAAAAACTTACAAGTTTTCCCATTGCAACAGAGGACTATGTCATTGACCCAGTCTGTGTGATGCTCCATGGAGGCAATGTACGGGTCTTGCTGCAGTGGTGGCAGAGAGGAGTTTTTTTTTTTTTTTTTTTTTTACATATTTTGCTGTGGTAGCAACTGTATAAACACAGTGTGAGGTTTTATGTTTTAATATAGTTTCAGAGAATCAGGCTTACCTTGTGCTGGTAGACACTCCATATCCGAATGATAGAGTCCCTGCCAGCGGTGAAGAGACGATTGAGTGCTGGGTCGAGTTGCAGTGCATTTACCCCATTTCGATTGTACTTCTCCACCTCATCTCTAATGACGTAAGACACCTGAGAGACAAAACTATAAGTGAATTCATCTTCTTTTGCATCAGGATTTAAAGATCAAGACAATCTGAAGATGTGCACATTCTCCAAATTCTCTCTTCATACAGAGGTGAATATGATTACCTGAGGGAGTGGCTGGTAAGCATACCTAACCCTAATTAAAAACCCAAAGATTTTTGTCATACACTGCTGCTACAGTAATAAGGCACATGTAATTTATGGATTTATGTTGAATTATCGCTGATGATTAATTTGTAATTTGTGGAGAGCTATGTCATGGAATGTAAAGTACCTTCATGTTGTCCAGGAAGATTTTTCAGCTTTTGCAAGTGTATCACAGAATTGTTAGCTCTGCAGTACTGTATTTTGACAATTTTAAGGACTCTCGTATTATGCTATTTAAAGAAATTACTTCGTTGTCTAAATATCTTATGGTGCCAATTCCTTAGCTTTTGCCATACAAGGTACTCTCGTCGGTTTACAATGAGCGAGCAAGGCTAACCTAATAAGCATACCACCAACCTTAATGACAACAACTAAGACTATTACCCATAAATATTGTATTTGTTACCCCGCGTATCCACTGAATCAAAACCCACGTAAAATCGTGCGCGGCGGAA